TGTGATTCCTCTGTAAAGTGCCTTTTTATGATTTTTTGCTTATTTTTCTATATAGTTATTTAATGTTATTATTGATTTATAAGATTTCTTTATGATTTGGACCTGCAAGTGGTGTGGTAGTTAAGGTACTGGACACTCCCACATAGCCAACCACAGTTCAAGTCCTGGACCTGGTGGCTTGCTTCCTCAACTCTCTCTCTCTCTCTGATCAAGCTAAAATAAATAAATGAATACATGAAATAAAATAATTTTTTTTAAAAAACAGATTTCTTTATGTTCTTTGGATACATCTTTTGTCATTTATATGAGTTATGTAATAGTCTGTATCTAATCAAGAAATGAAAAAAACACTAGATATTTCACATGACGAAAATTTAATATAAAGAATTGATTACAGGGAACCAGCAGTTAGCATAATGGCTATGTCGCTGGACTCCCACGTAGTCGACCGCGGTTTGTGTCCCGGACCCGGTGGCTTAAAACTCATGCCGGGCGCATGTGCGTGCGTGCCCAAGATTCCGAGAGGAGAATGGAGGAGAAGGGATTGCGGTGTGATCATCCCCCCTGGGGGGTGATTTCTCGCTTTCTGTCTCTATGTCTCTCTCTGTCTGTCTGGCGAGCGCACGTGCCCTACAGTGACAATCTCTCCAAAAAAGAAAAAAGAATTGATCAGGAAAATGGAGGAGAAAGGATTGTGAGGCAGACATTCCCCCAGCATGTGATTTCTCACTTTCTGTCTTTTTGTTTCTTGTCTCTCCAACAAGCTCAGGCATCCTGGTAGCAAAAGAACATAAATAATAAATAAAATGTTTAAAAATGTTGAGTTCTCACCCCAATATTTGTATACTTTTTTTTAATGATCTACAAGTATTACTTTATAAATACATCATACGCATTCGTTCTTTTTTTTTTTTTTTTGCTATAGGGCGCATGCACTCGCCAGACAGACAGAGAGAGACATAGAGTCAGAAAGGAAGAAATCACCCCCTAGGGGGGGATGGTCACGCCGCAATCCCTTCTCCTCCATTCCCCTCTCGGGATCTTGGGCACGCACGCACACGCACCCGGCGTGAGTTTTAAGCCACCGAGTCTGGGATGCAAACTGCAGACAACTACGTGGGAGTCCAGCGACATAGCCATTACGCTAACTGCTGGTTCCCCAGATTGCATTCTTGATAGCCTGTTTAGACAGGCCCTATCACAAGGGCTTCTACTGCATTAGCAGTTAATGTTCTTTTTTTCTTTTCTTTTTATTTTAGGTTTTTTTTTTTCCATAGGGTGCATGTACTCGCCAGAGAGAGAAAGAGAGAGGGGGAAAGTGAGAAATCACCTCCCAGAAGGTATGGCTATCTCTTTCAACACTTCTTGTCTTTTCTCCTCTTAGGATTTTGGGCGTGCATGCACACAGGCCTGGAATGATTTTTCAAGTCTCTCAGACATGTGGAAATCCAATGAGTTAACCACCACAGCACCTGATGGCCCTGTTTAATGTTTTTTTAAGCTGACATCTGGGAATGTGTAAACAGGGGCAGAAGAATTTAGGTGACAAAGAACATGTTTATGTGTCCTACTTGTAGATAATTGCCAAGCAACATTAAATGTAATAAACTAAGCCAGAGGCCAGGGGTGGGTTTAATAAACTAATTTATCCAATGCCCAGTCATTTGACTGACTTTTGTACCCTTATAAGCTCTTTCTTCTTGATTTTTGTTTGGTTTGTTTTTCTATTACTCTATCCTGGATTTTTCCTCCTTCACCTACATCTGTTGTCCTTCTTCCACTGTATTTTACTGTCTCCATCAGACTTGTTTCTGAATCTGATTATCTAGTGAAGAAGAACTTTATATTTTTATTAGAAAATTTCCTAGACCCCTCCTTTCTCTCTCAGGAACAAATATTGTCTTCTTTCTTTCTTCCTTCCTTTTTTTTTTTTTTTCTTTCTTTCTTTGTCGATAGAGAGCATATGTGCTTACCAGAAAAAAGAGACAGAGAGAAAGAGAGACAGAAAGGGAGAGGAGAA